TTTGCCAAAAATTCCTCCAACATGAAGTCCTCCGGCGATTGGATTCAGTTAATTGTGAGGAAGGTGAAAGGGTAATTAGAACAAAATAAAACACGTGGTTGAGCCAATAAAAGTGCTAATGCTACGGCATAAAAACCCTGTTCGAATATTACATTACGTTAAAATGATGATCAACCACGGACAAACCCGTGGTTGCCTTCTCTTCTCTCTACCAGCGGTCACTTACGGGCAAAGCCCGTGATACCGTTCCTCTCGTTTATCCGTTCAAGATGATTGGTACCAATAAAAAACTTTCTTACCGTTTCGTATCGCCTCTCCCTTTCTTTACCGTTAATTACCGCCTCTGCGGTCCGTCACCTTTCTATCGTCGACCCTGGGATGTGATCGCACTACCCCTGGGATGTTGAATCGTCTACTATATTCGTTGTACAATGAAGTGGTCTCTTAAGCGTCTGGCGAAAGAATAGAACGAATGTCCTCGATAATAGGCCCAGCAGGGCGTACACGCTCGGCGCCGAGTGGTGGGGATACGATCGTTAATATCGGACTAAAGGCGCGTTTTACAAAATGTTATTTTCTCGCTCACGATCGATTCCGATCGTACAGTTATTATTCAAAAACCTCAACAAAACTGTTTCAATCTRGACTAGTGTTTGTTAGCCTAGATATCATCAGTGTAAGGTGTCCTTTATTATTTATTATGTTTAAAATTTAAAAATTCCGTTGTAGATGTGATTTAGGTTATTTGTGTCTGTTCTAAAATTTACCGTATTATTATTACATATGTGATACATCTCGCTGATGTTTCTTTTGTACCAGTTTTCCTCCAAATCTAGGATAGTTGCTGCGTCAAATTTAAAAATATGTCCTGTTGTAAAATGGTGTTCAGCTAACGCTGTGGTATTGGTTTTGTTCACATTTACAGGTTTACAGTCATTTTTGTGTTGGTCTAATCTTTTTTTTAATTTCTGTTTCGTTTGACCAATGTAGCTCTTATCACATTCACATGGTATTTTATACACTAASTTCGACTGGTCAAATTTATCCACTTTATCTTTTAATTTAGTGTAAATAGAATTTATTTTTGTTAGATTATAAAAAACCAGTTTAATATTAGTGTTTTTAAAACATTTATTTATTTTGTTTGCTAAAGGCTTAATATACGGGAACTTAATGTACTTTTTATCTTGCAGATTCGGTTTTTTTACACGATCTTTGTCAATTTTGAATTCATTAAAT